ATTTAAATGACTCTGTGACCCCTTAAGGCTAAAGGGTAGATTGTAGTTTAATGTGATATAGATACTGTGAAGAGGACAAAGCCAGCACATGACAAGTGGGAAAACTGCCCCTGATTACAGTGCGTAGCCGTATTGAGGTAATAGCTCCATTAAAGCATTCACATTGTTCACGGTAACCTGATGTCCCTAATAACCTAGGTTTCACATGATTTGTTTGATAATGAGGTTTGTCTGGTAGCCTATGGGGAACATTTTCACACCTCAACACCAGAGAAACACAAAAGAGGGACTTTGCTGCTGTTTATTGGATTTCATGTTGTATTTATCCTAATTTCACCTCCAGCTTAGTGTTTTTTTAGTTGTTTTTTTAGGAAATACAGCTTGCATCAACATCAAATTTTCCCCATGACCTCTCTGGGAAATGTTCTAAATCAAAGTGTTCAACTGGAAACTACACAGCAAATTTAAAAAAGGACTTTAATTTGTGTTACTTGTACGTTTCTTTGTACTGAATGAGAACGTGGTCACTGACATAAACCTCACCACCATCTCTCTCTTTCCATTTCCTCTCTTTCCATTTCCTCGCTCTGTTGACCTTCTTCAAACCAGCAGAAAGTGGCCATTAAAAGAAGCAGCTTAAGGCATTACACCATCAGCTAGTAGATACTGGTTAAACACTGAATAAAAAAATACAACCAATTTAAACCTTAACCCAGTGTGTCATATGTCACCAATGACCTCACATTGAGTTTTGTGAATGGAAGAAAGAAGTGTAGAAATAAGGGTTGTGAAATGGTAGAAACAGGCTTTGAGATACCATGCGTCCAACAAATTGTACCTGGCTTATGAAACACTTCATAAAAAGTTGATGGTAACGATATATTATGGTAAGTCATTTGGGAATTTTAACACCCTATTAACATGAGCGTTTTATCCTCTCATTTGTTATTGTAATTCTGTCTGGACTTGCAGTCATCTAAATTACGACTTATCTTCAGGCAGCAGGAACATGCAGTAAAAAAAATATAATAAATCTGCAAAACCAAGATACCGACAATATACCCCTGTTCCATAAAATGGTTGATTAAATGTTTACCAAGTCAGGCACATGCAAGAACTTCAATTTGTCCACGGCTCGCTTAATAAAAACTTTCTTCTTTTTTTACCCCTCTTGCTCATAAATATACAATCAGATATGGTTTCAAACTAGATTTCCTTAAACACACAACCACAGTTTGGTTCAGCACTGAGGCCACAAGAAATGGAGTTTTTTTTTTAAAGCAGATTTTATGAAGTTGCCATGTCCAGCATTTCACTCTTTGTTGGAAATGTCTTTGCAACAAGAGGATTGGATGGAATAAAGTTTGCTGCAGACATGTCAACATACCTTCTGCTTGTTTGAGAAGAGCTGAGGCTCGACGAAGTCTGGAAAAAAATAACAATCAATGCAACCAAACCTTTAGTTTATGAATCATGCTCTTTCCTCTAGTGGCCTCTTTAAGCCAAAATATACTTTTTTTGCTCCACTAGTGATAAAGATCAAATTCGTATTTTTCATCCACATAACAATTTAGTTTCCATGGTGTGTAATGAGCTTTGCAGGCTCAGGGGACAGCTAACAAGGCAAGAGACTACTGGTCCTGTTATTTCCCCACTCCTTTTGCTTTAATTGCTACATTTTGTGGTCTGCTTACTTTTGTTTACCTTCATCTGCGTGTGTCTGCTGTGCATATCAATATGAGGCTGGAGATTGGTTTAGAACTTTTTGTTGTTACTTTTATTAACTTTTTCATATTTTCGTCCTACACATCTTTCATGACTCTTTTAGTCGGTTTTACGTTTTGAATTAACAAAACCAGGCATTCTCTACACATACTTGGAAACGGATATGATTGTGTATATTGTGGAGTAGAGGAACTTCTACAGACTACAGTGTGTGATAAGCATTATATGTGAATGATCATTTATTATGTGCACTGAAAAATAAATGTTGAAAAATGGTCGCTGGGATTAGAGCGAGCACTTTATTGGGAACTCAATTGTTGCCTTGTGGCAACATTGCATAAATATTTACTATGTATCCAAATTCTGTGATACTTTAATATTGCTTTTGCTCATAAATATTATATATTTTCAGCAGAGTTAGAAGCTGAAAAAAGTTCTAGGAGTGAAGTTCTCTAAAGTACGCTACCTGACAATCAGACTCAACTTCATGTTTTTTTCTTATCTTGAATTGAAATGGATAATACAAAGAGCAATTTGGAGCTCCAATTACTACAACATAATGTCAAATGTGAAGTGACGTAATAAACATGATGTAGTATTAACATGTAGTAAGTGGAAATAATCATTGGAAACAATTACATGCTGTCACGAATAAAATTAAATTTCAGTATACTATGAGAGAATACGCATTTCTGGCTGGCTGGCTGTCTAAGATTGTGAATTTGCATAAAACGCTTCAAGCTCAATTTTCACATTAAGCACAATTTTCTTAACATGCAGAGTAACAGTTGTTTTAAAGAGCACATATTATGCCCTTTTTGGGTTTCGTATATTTAATCTATGTACCTACTTTTGTATGTTCACAATAGCTAAAGTTATAAAAAAGTGTCTGTTTTCATGAACTGCTCCTCCTTGCTCCCTCTACGCTCTGAGTCCGTCAGCTACACTCTGTTGAGCCCACACTGTTAGACCCCACGGGGGCCAAGTCTGCTCTGATTGGTCTGCCGATCCGCTCTGTCGTTATTGGTCAGTTGTTCAGCACGCGTCTCGGAAATTTCAACATGAGCTGCAGGACTTGCCACAACGAGCCAATGGGCTTAGATCAGTGATCTCACACTGACAATGACGTCGGACTGACACATTTTTATTGAGGGGGGCTAGAACCGAGCGTTACATGCAGCTAATGCTACAGCTAACAGGAGGACGTAGGAGAAGCCGCGTTTCCGCACAGGACACTTGGAAAACACACTAAAGGGCATATACAACCAGAAAAAGCATAATATGGGACCTTTAAAGGCTTTATATGCGATTTTTTGATCCAGCAGATGTCACCCTTGAGCACCAGCATGAAACCAAAACAACTTGCGCTGCATTGTTGTGTTAGAATGCTTACGTGACATTCAATTAAGCAGTGAGTACAGTATGCTATTCTTCTTTTCTCTCGTCCCTCAATTAAACAACTTTTATACGCGAGGGGATGAGCCGGCCGGCCGTCCAGGCGATGTAAATAAACTGAAGATAAGACTCAAAACATCACAGACAGTGGGACCATTGTAAACAGTCATGACTCAGAGTTATTTTCAGAGGATATACTTGATTTCTATTACATTTAAGTGGGAAATATAAATATCATATAATAACATATAAAGCCTTTAAGGGTGTAGGCAGATGGGAGTAATTCAGACATATTTTTTGTTCTTTTTCACGGCAGCATCAACCTTTTAATTACAACCTTTTAATTCAACAGTAAGATTGTTTGTACAAGAGTGGATGTTGGTCAGCATGCTGGTGCTAGCTACAGCCCTAACCTGTAAGGTGACTGGGAAAAGCCTTGTAGCCCTCACGATGAAACAAATTCGAAAAAGTTTTGATTAATCAGTATGTTTGAAGCGATATAGCAGAGAAGCAGTTTAATGCCAATGTGGGGTTATACTAGGTGACAGAAGAAAAATAGAAAGTACAATTCTTAATGTGAATGTGTTCATCTTCCAACATAAATCTCATAAACGTCAGAAGATAAATGATTTTTGCTAGCTGCTAATGTCAGGGAGTCACAGAGAGCCAGAAGGAAGTGGAAGCCAATTCACTTTAGATTATGGCGGACGAACACCACTGGACGTCCAACTCTGCGGGAAAAACTTCCAATGAAAAATTATCCGTCAGACTGTCAGGAAAAGTCCTCTGTGTGAGTGAACGTTCTGGTCTGAGAGATATCATTACTGCAGTCTCACAACAAACAGACTGTAGCGCTGCATGCTATGTCACTCCGCAACTGATCTGTGAAGGCTTTTTGTGACCTGACAATTTGGGCCCAGCGACTTAAAGACAATGAGAAATGCTGAGGTTGGATGTCAGGACTTTGTGCTGTCAAGGGACAATCTTTGGATCTGGTTCTTCATGATCTCTATGAGATTCTTAAAACAGAAGTTTGCCTTTTTGAACTGCTTGTCATGCTAGTAATCGCTAGAGAGGCTCTTTGGATTCTTCAATTGGAAACACTTCTGCCTTAAGAACTAAAATCCCTACAAGAAATGTTTGTGAAAGAAACAGTTTGACCTTTTTAGAAAGTTACATTCAGTTTTGCAGGAAGTTAGATACAAAGATTGATACCATCATGTAGCCGCAAGCTAGGACGGGGTAACTAGATCAGGGAAAAGCTCACTTGGCTTCACCAAATCTAAATATGGATAAAGGTCATGGACTCTATGTTTAATGAGTACACACACAAAAATATTTAAACAGCTTTGGTGTTTGAAGGGGATTTACATGAGTTTCATTTGTTTCCAGCCTTTATGCGAGGCTACACTAACTGACTGCTGGATAAAACTTCATATTATTTGACCTAAAAGTCTTCAGTCCCTGCAAAAAAAATGTGTCAGTAATTGATGTAACTGTATAATGAATTCAGCATTATTCCCTTTTATGATGAACTCAATGATAAATGAGATGTCTTGAGAAAGCTAAACAGATCATCAAATGTTTAGAGTTAGAATGGTTCAGTTTAAGAGGTAAAACAAGTTTTACTTTCAGGTTATTGTACATTATGAGGTAAAAACCAACAATGATGTAAAAATAGAGAAACACTTTGTCAAACTATATAATGCAGTTCTGACTAGTTTAGGATGGCAATACCTTTTTTTCTGTGGAATCAACACAAACTTGACATTCCTCAATGAATCATTAATATTTACTAAGTAAGTCAGCTGAAACTGGACAGTAAAAGAAAGTTTTGTTTGTGTCCAGTGTATTACTATATCTGAGATATTGCCATCTCAAACCAGTCAAAACTACATGGTTCTTAGTTGAACTAATCTAAAAAAAAAGTTGAGGTTTTTCTTAATATTTCAGCTGTAATGACCTCCTTAGTACCTGGGGTATTCACCTTATAATGTACTACAATCATTAAGTAATTAGCAGAAAAATCTGTGGTGATTAGTGGACTGTAAAATGAATGGTTATTTGGTTTGGTGAAATTTGGTTAATTTAAGAATTGTTCAAAAGTGTAATTAGATGTAGTCTCCATTTTTGTTGTGACCTCGGTCTGGGTACTGACGTGACAGATGAATATTGTTTTTAACTTCAGGTTACAAGACACTCATGCAGCCTTATTCCAGCGCTGACATTTCACACATTCCTCCAGTACAGGTGATACAGGGCTCCTGCACAGAGTGAAAATAATGTTTATGCACGGTTGCCTCTTTATTATTCAATTCCAAATCCGTATCAGTTAGGCCAAATGAACCAAAATGAATTCCATGATGAAATATAAATGTTCATTAACCAGTTATGAATCATGCACTGATGGCGCCTGGATTAAACGTCAGACTCGCATGCCTTATGTGTCCCAGCTCAGTCTGCCACCCGCTCTTCTGTGTCTGTGAGTCTCCTGGGATCCAAGGGAGCTCATCTATCTGTAAGGAGCGCGAACAATTTTTTTGATTTTATTTTTGGCGTGTATAAATTATTCAGAGTGCATCCCCCCTGCATTTATCTCCGATGGAGCCTGACTGTTCAGTTGGTGTCGAACTCCCCCCCGTCTAACTCTTACTCCATCTGTCTTTCTCCTGCTCGCTCACTCACTCACTCGTCTCACAGCCCCCACCCAACCACTTTCAAAAACACACACACGCACACACACACACACACACACTGACACACGCACACAGCGAGATAAGATCTGTCTTTACCTCATCTCAGAGGGGCCTTGGCAGCCACTCTCAGGAATATTGATCATGACACCCTTGTGTGGCAGACCTTTTCTGCAGCTGCGGCACTAAAGCAGATAGAGCTGGAACTCTTTTGGGATTTCAGCTCTGTGTTATGCGCTCAGCGGCCCACAAGGCACTGCAGGAAATGACTTTACATGGAGGTACCAACATGTGTGGCTCTCAGGGGCTTGGATTAGTTGAGGAGACTGTGAATAGTGTCACTGCATTATTAATCTTGAAGGAGGCTTTGGCTTACTTACCCCATGGGCTAGACAAACCATCCTTGGCTCTCTCAGATTGGCTGGAAAAAACGACTCCATCTCACTGCTGCCGGGGTGCCTCTGAGCAACAAATCTGACTCTGAGTTGCCAGTATGTGTTCAATCGGCTTTCCATGCATGTGAAGCTGCTTACCACTGGGATACGGTGGATGCACTCTTCCTGGTCCCTGTATATAGGCAGTCGTATTGTGAAGTGGAGCAGAATTAAAAAAAAAAAAAAGCACAAGTATGCAAAAAGAACATGCCAGCTCAGCAAAAACATTCCCTGGATGAATAAAGGCTCAAATAAGTTCATCCTGTGACAATCTGAAGACACAGTTCTGCACATTCCTGCTTTGCATCTCATTATTTAAGTTCAACTCTCGCAGATAATATGGACTCATCCCAATCTAAGGGGATTTTATCCAGTCAATTTATATTGCTCTGCAGAAAGCCAACGTGAAGCTAATATACATTATGCTGGTTTTAAAGAAGGATGTGACAAGCGGAAAACTGCACAAAGTAAATGTCATTTAAACGCTGATAGTTGTTTATTTCAGTTACTTTACTTTCTTGCATTTAGCTAATATACATATATATTACATTCATACATACATACAAATACGAAGTGGTTTACGATCCAAAAAACAAAAGAAGCAAAGATTCAAAGGTGAAAGTAGTTATTATAATGTGCCCTTAATGTGATTTTCTTTTACGGTTTGCTTTTGTAAGTAATGATGTGCTTCACTTCATCTGCAGCAGCAAAATTGAATTTTGTAGTTGCACGGTCTTAAAAAATAAAGGACTGGACAGTTTTTTAAATAAAAAAAACTAAAATATTTATTTAAACACAAAAGGCAAAAAACAAAAGCTTATGTTTTCCAGTAGAAACACGGTGAATGTCTGACAATGATTTGACACAGGAGGGAAGAAACAGAGAAATACAGGGGGCGATCAAACAAAGGTGTGACAGACAGGACACAGGTGAAAGTGATGAAGGCAATCAAACAGGGAGGGAAACAAACAAAGGGTGGAAAGTAAGACTGGGGATGATACAGAGGGGCAAGACTACAAAATAAAACGGGAATAACACTGAAAGCTAAACTCAGGAACTAGAAAAACACAAAGATACAAACAACAAAATAAAACAGGAAATTACAAATAAGCAACAAGGAAAAAACAAACTCAACAAGTAAATCATGACAGTAGTTCATTTAAAAGCGGGGCTGTGCTGACTTCCTCTTGTGTAGGTGAAATACTGACGATGATAACAAAACCATCAACCTATTACTTTGAGTTTCTATACTTTATATTCTTAGTTATCCTCAGAAAATATAATGCCTACAGGCTTAATAAATAAAAGACCCATCTATAGACTACTAATGTTGAAAGCTACACCCTTGTTCATTTATAGCTCCAGCGTGACTGAATAGATTTTAACCATTTTTACATGATTTGAATACCATCCCAAACCAAATTCCCCCATCTGGGATTAATTAAGTATTTCTGATACTGATTCTTAAATATCCAGCCCTCTTTGTTTCCTTGCAGACTGAGCTGTGAGGATACCCCCGAGCAATCTCATATGATTTTAAGTGAACACAAGACCCCAGCTATGTCAAACATTCCTCGCAAGCTGATTTCAGAGGTCTCGAGAGGCTGAAGACGAGGCAGAAAGTGAAACGTTGCACAAAACAACTGGAGTAGTAGTTCAGTCTTGTGTTTGTGAATTTCATGCTGTAGTTTAAATAAAGAGCTGGAACAAGCTGGGATACATATTCTGTCACTGTCAGTGTGGAAGCAAAAGGTTTTGTTTTTTTTAAACCATCAGCGTCAGAAAAAGAGGAAAACTGTATTTGGAGGAGCTAAAATGTCACTTCATAACATGTTCACACTAACCATTTGTTGTATCCGATCAGCTGCAGAGCTGCACTGACAAATGTTTTCTTAGGGAGTCTTTCCATAACAACTCTTCACAATGAAGAAGAACTTGATTCTGTACTTATTCTTACTTTTTTGTGAAGCTTGCAAATGGAATTCACAAAACCCGTGAACAGCAATGACTTGTAAATAACCCCTTTCAGCATGATGGATGCCACCTATTCGCGTGCAGGAGCTAACCTTTTAATGCTCCATTTGTGGGAACGTTTCATTCACAAAAATCTCTTTCTGGATTGTAAAGTGCCTAAAGTATAAATGCCATAAGAAATCAGCAGATGAACACAAATGAATCATTTGAGGACCTAAAAGAGAAGAACATTTTTACGAGAGCTGTTGAGATTGTGTCAAAGCTATAGCTGTGCAATGACAGGAATAAAGAAGTCATAGTTTGATCATCAAGTCATGGGTTTCTAAAACAAACTTTTCAGAACTTATGGGACATGGTCTGTCTTCAGCTCCACCAGAGAAAGACCTGTATGACAACCCTAAAGCATCTGTTGGACTGTCAGCTGTTTTTACATGAAAAAGTAAATTCTGACAAACTACACTACATACATCTCACAGTGATATAACAAACATAGAGATGATGTTACATTAAGACCTTTCAAAATCCGGCTTGAAATGAAGAAATGTATAACCTATGCCATTTTAAATTTAGTGATCAAAACAATCTAAATGACAAAAACCTGAATATCAAATATAAAACCTAGATAAAAAAAAACATCTTCTTCGAGGTTTTGACCATTCCTAAACAATTTGAGGGCATGACATAGTTTTGATTGACATCTACTCATCCTACATACAGCAACATTGCAGGTGACAATCTGCATCATGCAGCTCTAAATATAAATTGGTCTAATCTGAGTCAAATTCAGAGGAGAAAACAGAAGCCAACGGAAAATGTCACTGAAAGTGAGCTACAAATTGCTTTGCTATAAATACCATAGTTAGCAGTTAGCAGTTAGCATACACATGCAACGTTAGCTGATATCACTCTACGCTCTCAAAAAGACTGCCCTCAATAATAGCTCTGTAGCATTAACTTGTGCTTCATTTTAACTTGGGTGCCTCAAGTGGTGGAGTTCAAGTATCTCAGGGTCTAGTTGTGAGGGGAGAATGGGTTGCGAGATTGACAGCTTCAGCAGTATTGCAGACCCTTTGATGGACCGTGGTGAGGGAGCTCAGCTCAATTTCAAACAGTTGATCTACAGTACGATCCAACCTTCACCTATGGTCATGAGCTGTGGGTAGTGACCGAAAGAATGAGATCACAGATACAAGCGGCCAAAATGAGTTTCCTCCGGGAGGGTGTTTGGGCTCAGCCTTTGAGATAGGGTGAGGAACTCGGTCATCCGGGGGGAGCTCGGAGTAGAGTGTCTGCTCCTTTGCATCGAAAGGAGCCAGTTGAGGTGGTTCGGGAACCGGATCAAGATGCCTCCTGGTCCACTTCCTCTGGAGCTTTTCTGGGCACATCCAGCTGGGAGGCGACCTAGGAGAAGACTTGAAGCTCGCTGAAGGGATTACATATCCCCTCTGGCCTTGGAACACCTTGGGATCCCCCAGCAGGAGCTGGAAAACATTGCTAGTGAAAGGGAAGTCTGGGGCAACTTATTAAGACTGCTGCCACCTTGACCCCACAGAAGATAATGGATGGATAACACTCTCAGATAACTTTTAAAATTTTGCTGATAGAAAAATAGTTCATTTACAGCCTGCACTAAACTTCCACAGTTGAAGAAAGACAAGTGTGGTCAAAGTTCAATCAGCCGCAAAGTTATTCTTCACTCCTGGAAGACAAATGGCCCAAATTCAAACCCACTGACAGGAACGTTTACAGACACTTATATGAAGTACTGAATTTTTTTTCTTGAAATACGTCTAAATGCTAACTGCGTAGTAGCTCAATAGTACATTGTTGAAAGGCTTTTCTGGATTTGGTTTTCCGGTGGCTTTAAGCTTAATTTCATCCAAGCTGATTTTGGTTACATATTAAACTTTATTGAAAACTATTTGTGTCTGACCTGTGGGGCTTATAATGCTGTAAACACACTTTCAAAATTGCATTCATTAAAATGTGTCCAGCTGGATGCAAAAATTGCAGTGACATATCTTAAAAGGCAAAAAAAAAAGAATACTCCTAACTAACTTTTTTGTAAGAGACAACTGGGGGTGAAAGTGAAATTTGTGCCTTTTTATATTTTGTTGAAACCATCCCTTTGAAGCACTGTGATTTAGAGGCTGTTTGCACGAACAGTTTGTTACACTGAGACACATTACCGAGGCTCCGCTGTGTGCCCCTTTGGCAGGGTGACATTAGAATTATGTCATATTGCATGGCAGGCGACAGCGTTCAAGTCAGCCTCTCAGTGAGTAACCTGTGATTAGCCATGGAGCGTGTTTGCTTGGGGGTATTGCATACGTTCTGGGTGTTAAGTAAATTGGCAAACATCTGGGATGATATGAATAACCTGAATTTTCCACTGAACTTGGGAAATGAAATAACCCCTGCTGTGCGGCTGATGAACAGCGTGCTCAGGCATCCTAATAAATACTTGCTTGTAATTTCAATTCGGTCTCACGCTGAGGGAGGGCAACAGGGGCGGCTGGCAAGGTCTCCCTGCTTTGTATGGGAGGGCATGAGAATAAGAACCATGAACGCTGTGTGTGAGAGTTGGGTTAATTTGGTATCTATTTTCTGGATTCTTCTCTGCAGTTAATAAACTAATGTATATTAATGTTTAATTATTCTATAGAACTGCTGTTAGTTGAGCATTTAGGAGGAAACTCACCAGCTGAAATGGGATCTGACCCCAACAGTAATGTGTGTCACGAGTGAAATTACACCACAGTGAGAATGAAACAGAGCGTTATACACTGTGTGTCCTTTGAACAGCGCCCACAAAGGGAGCCCATCGATCTTGGAAACGCTGTCACCAAGGCCACGGGGAAATACGAGCCGATGCACACTCCACAGGGCTAACAATAGATAACAGAGAGAGGATCAGACGGAAGGGATGAAAGATGGCAATAAAAGAGGGCAAGATGACATCCTAGGGTATCAAAAGAGAAAAGAAAAGAAGAAGAAATACTAAAATTGTATAGAAGAATATGTGGACAAGCATACTATCCCACAGTCCTCCTCACAAGGTCAGATGTACCTTGGTCTCTTCATTGTGTTGTTACTCAGAATCTGCCTGATCATCATTTATATTTTTCTGGGAGGACATCCAAACTCCAGAAT